CAGCAGAAGGGGAGGGGGAGGAGAACGAGAGGAGATGAAGGAGGGACGAGTAGAGAAAGAAAGCAAATAAAATTTTTTTTGGGGAATGAATTAGGGTAGTAAAAATATTTATTTTATAAAAATATTAATTAAACTAAAAAATCTGATTTTGGAAATATTAAACTTCAAATCTGATTTTAGAAAGTTTAATACTTAAAGTATGGTTTTGTGTAATTACCACTTTCAAAAACACCAAGAGTGTATTTGATTGACGTGAAAAATATCTCCTAAAAAATGTTTTCCTTGTTTTAAGAAAAACAAAAACCGATTTTCCCCGAATAAAATATTTTCCTTAAAAACAAGGAAAACTATGCAGATTTTCAAAAGTTATAAAATATTTTTAATGAAAAAAATAACAATTTAACACTCAAAAGTAAAATTTGGGTGAAAAAAATGACACTTTTCATAAAAAATAAATGCAATCAACCGCACACTAATGGTGCGTTTGACTGCGAGCATGAAATTTGCATGTAAATAAAATAAATTTTAGGCAATTCAATTACCTATAAATTATTTGTATTGAAATTATTAACTAAATGTATTTAATTGGTTTAATTTTTAAACTATAAAATATTATATTTGTCCATTTTTTATTGGTGGATAGATGAGATAGATGAGAGAGAGAGAGAGAATTACCTAAAAAATAAAAACTATATCTCCTTAAATAAAATATTTTCTTTGTTTTCAAGAAAAATATGATCACGTGACCAAATGCATGAAATTAGGTGGAAAAAACATATTTTTTTAATGAAAAATATTGGCAATCAAATGCACCATAACATTTTTATTTTTATTTTTAAATTCTTGAAATACTATGCCCCTGTTTGATACCAATTAAAATTCAGATTATAATTTGAATCAAAATCAACAATTAATTTTAACCACATATTTTATAGGGTTCACGACTTTTCAACCACACATTTCATCAACTTTTATTAAAATTTACTAAAAAACTGATTTTAATCCCTACCAAACAAGGACTATATCTTATAACATAAAATTTCAAAAATTACTAAATAACCCAATTAACATATATATAGGTAACCGATTGCAATCAAGGTACATAAATATTTTCAAGACATTAAATAACTCCTAAAATGTAGGGATTTAATATAGAAATAATTGGATTATTAAATAACATCCGTGTGTATTTGGATGTATAATTCCAAAATCCTTTTTATTATTTTGAAATTTCTATTTCCAATCACTTCATATTACTAAATAATGAAAATTCAGTTTTGGCAATTTATAGTCTTATGTTGATTTTTATTTCGAAATGTAAGAAGTTGTGTTGTTATAATATAATTTGTAATGTCTTAACATTTTTAAATATATTATTGTTATGTGCACGACATAGCAATTATGGCACGTCTAAAGGAGTAATATTATTTAATTTATGAAAGATGGAATGTTGCGAATCACAATATGTTATCATGTGAATCTTGAATAATTAGTGGTTGCATGTGTAACATTTTATTACATCCATCAATCATATTTTGTTACGATGTTATATCAAATTAGCAATTTACATGGTAGATTACATACTGTATTTTTTTGTCATGGTTTGTGAAATTGTATTGTGTGCTGAAATATGTTACATTTGGTACTTCAACAACTTATATATACTATATTTTGTCACGTCAATCATGGTATTTTGAGACTCCTATCGAGTTTTATATTTGACTCAAAAATACAATAATCTTTGAATTGTAGAGAGAAGATACTGAAATTGATATTTAAAATTAAGAGTAAAAGGGATTGCGATATGAAGACGAGAAATCTTTGAGGTGTTTTGAAATTTCTTGATTTATCATAGTTTTGATTTTAATTTTGAATGGATGAGGTACTATGATTTGAGGAATTTTGGATGGTTCCACGTTAATTTGGGGATTTTGGATGATAATTTTGGTGGATTTGATTTGGCGTGTTTGGAGAAGTGATACAAGCTAATTAACTAATTAATTGTAGGAGTGAAGTTGTCCATGACATTTCACTTTTACTTACTAAAATACAGTATCTACAGGATAAAAAAATCTAAAAATGTAAATTTTGAATTAGTAAATAAAATGGGGGTAAGACATGTAATTTCCACAATAAAAATTAAATTCAAAAATTACACCGAGAGAGGGAGCAAACACTGATAATGGTAAAAATTAACATAAAAATTCCATCCAAGGGGCTTATGTCGAATTTGAGTCTAACTTGAAGTTGAAAACAACTACCCAACTAACAGACCCAAATCCTTCTATGAAAATTGAAACATCCCAACACGAGTCCGTTTGAAACGGTTCGATTTCTTAAATTGTGATTAAAAAGAAATATGGAGAAAATCAATGTAGAACAAAAAGAGTTTCACACAAATAAAGTTCACAATATGGAGAAAAACACACGTATCAATACAAGAACAGAGAGAAAAACGGAGAGCTGAAAAATCATGAAAAAATTGTTTGAAAGGCAAACAACTGAAGTTGATTAAAATAACCCAATATAAAAATTTGCCAAATCATCATCTTTATATTGAAAATAGCACCAATGTGCAATAATTGTTACATAACATGTATATATAGGCCCATGCTAGTTTACTTGGCCAATTCCTGCAACAAAAAACTGCCTATAAATAAGTCGTATTTTCATGCATGACCAAGCATATATGTGCCGCAAAACCAACCAACATTTTTGAGACTTAGCATAAACAAAATAACTTTTCAAGTTTAGCACAAAAAAATGGAGTTCAAAACTTCGATTGCATACCAAAAAAATCACTACCATCTTCTCCTGAGAAGGGAGATGCGACAGCATCACCCCTTCGTCTTGGTGCAAATGGAACCGCCCCTCTAACAATCCTCTTCCTTGGCATTCTCTGCAGCCTCTATCTCTTGAAAATCCTCCACCCTGGTCAACTATGGTGCTCTCAACTATTACACGAACCCCCTTGAACAGCTTGTCACAACATCAGGAGTTGGTCCTAAAATATAATTTCAAACACAAAAACTGTAAATTGCAGAAAGTAAAATGAATACGAAGAATTTTTCGCCCCAAAGGGCCCGAATATTCAGCAGCCAAAGGCCTAATTACCCGTTAAGCATCTACAAAGTAGATATAACTCTAGTTTCAATAGAATCAGCAAGAAAATTTACATATGTATGAAAAAATCAGATATTTCTTCACTATTTTCTCTCGCCTCAAATCACACAGATACAATACACAATCTCACCAAATTATACACCAAGTATAATATCTGAAATATCACTCTGATTATAGAGATTGAATAATAATCACTAAGAACACACAGAATGACAGAGAGAAGAGACGAAATCCTATAACTCACAGATTCCCTCTCACACAAAATAGTAACCACCGAATGAAATCCAAAAATGAGCTTTTAATACATAGGTCCAAAAGTCACAGATCAACGGCTGAGAGATGACCAAATGTATGGCCAGATCACAAGATCAAGAAGTGGAGAGGCGTGTAATATGGAAATACGATTTCATTAAATGGGTTTCAAACCGAAAGCTTTGCACATGCCCAAATACAAACAGAACCTGGCCTGAATTGTGAGGCAACCCATGAAACTTAACACTTCCATGTTGAAGATTGCATTGGATGTATAGCTTGGTACATGAATTCTGATGTTGGAGGTAGTACCTTGCTTGTGTGGGTTAAATTTTGCTCTTTGAGGAACAAGCTTTGCCTATGAATGAACAATTTTTAGTCAGACCTCACAAGAAGCACAATTGAAAAACAATTGACTATAGCAAAAATTAACAAATGCCAAAATCAACTAATTAATAATAGAACAATAGCATAAATGAACTAATGCCAAAATCGGGTAAACACAATGCAATGGAACCTAAATTTTAACTGTTAACCAAGTAATTACAATACAAAATCAGCAAGTATTTTAGTTTCAAGCACAAAACAACAGACATGGAATGAACAACACACAAACCATGAGTAGAACTCCTAAAGTAGAATTCCAAAATAGTATCACCTCCACCGCAATCGGAAAAGCTTCTAATAGTAGGTGAAGATAAGTGCTCGAACACTCGTAACTATGGAGGCAAAATTAGAAACTCACCATATTTAGAGCTTCGTCCTCGTACATTTGGATTCATTTTGGCCTTCCCAAGACAGTTTGACGGAGTATATAACAGAAATTGATAGCCGGATTGTATTATGCAAAGTTTTGTTGATTTTGGGATTTTGCACCAAAATGATAAGTTACGAGATATTGTGCGAAACTAATAAAGTTTGGGGTATTTCGTCAATCACCCTTTTTTGTTTGAAGTTTGAGCAATAAGCCCATGTTTGATTGAAATAAAAATCAGATAATTAGTAAATTTTGATAAAAAATAATGAAATTTGCGGTTAAAATTGTTTTACAACCTCACCAAAATTTAAAAAATAAACAAATAAATAAATTTGAAATTAAAAAATGAATTGTTAAATTAAAGAATTGTTTATTACCACTTAAAACCCTATTAAAAACACGCTGCATTTTCAATTTTACACCCTACTGCTGTTATGGCTCTCTCGAAACTCACGTTTTTTACCCATTTCAGCAAAACCCTAACTAAACCCTGCCGTTTTCGACTTCCGGGGCCGCCGTCCATCGCCGTCCCCCTTCGCCTCTTCTCCTTCGCAACCCCAGAAGAGGCGGCTGCCGAACGCCGAAAGCGCAAGCGTCGCCTCCGTATCGAACCCCCACTCTCTTCCCTCCGCCACCATCAACAGCAACAACGACCTTCTCCGCCCTCCGCCGCCCCTCAAAACCCCAACGCCCCCAAACTCCCCGAACCTGTCTCGGCTCTCTCCGGCAACCGCCTTAACCTCCACAATAAGATTCTGACACTCATCCGCGAAAATGATCTCGAAGAGGCTGCACTCTACACGCGCCACTCGATTTACTCCAACTGTCGACCAACTATTTACACGTGCAACGCCGTTATGTCGGCGCAGTTGCGGCAGTCGAAGTACTCCGATCTTCTGTCTCTTCACCGATTCATCACTCAGGCAGGTGTTGCCGGCAACGTCGTGACGCATAACATCCTCCTAACAGCCTACCTCGACTGCCGAAAAACGGACCTTGCTTTGGAACACTACAGGCAGCTCATCAATGATGCACCATTTAACCCCTCCCCCACCACTTACCGCATTCTCATCAAAGGCCTCGTCGACAATCAGAAAGTCGAGAATGCGCTTGAGCTCAAGGACGAAATGGCCACCAAGGGCTTTAAACCGGACCCGACTGTTTATTCATATTTAATGTTGGGTTTAGCTAAGAATTCAAACCCGGATGGGGTATTTGAATTGTACGAGGAACTAAAGGAGAAATTGGGACAAGAAGAAGTTCTGGATGGGGTGATATATGGGAATTTAATGAAAGGGTATTTCTTGAAAGGAATGGAAAAGGAGGCCATGGAGTATTATGAAAAGGCTACAGATGAAGGTTCACGTATAAAAATGAGCGCAGTGGCGTACAATTATGTCTTAGAGGCTCTGACCATGAATGGAAAGTTTGATTTGGCTGTGAATTTGTTTGATAGGATGAAAAATGAGCATGATCCGCCGAGGAAATTGACTGTGAATTTGGGGAGTTATAATGTGGTGGTGGATGGTTATTGTGCAGAAAAGAGGTTTGGCAGAGCCATTGAGGTTTTCAATAGTATGGGAGAGAAGAGGTGCAATCCGGATACTCTGTCATACAATGTGCTGATTGATCAGTTGTGTAGTAATGGAATGTTGGATGAGGCAGAGGAGTTATACAAGGGGATGAGTGATAAGAAAGTGAATCCAGACGAGTATACTTTTGTCGTGTTAATGGACACTTGCTTTAAGGAGAATAGGCCAGATGATGCAGCAGGGTATTTTAGAACTATGGTTGAGTCGAAGCTGAGACCGAATCTGGGGGTTTATAATAGGATGGTTGATGGATTGGTTAAAGTTGGGAAGATCGAGGAGGCTAAGTCAATATTTGACATGATGGTGCCTAAGCTTAGGATGAATGATGATGCATATAAGTTCATCATGAACGCATTATTTGATGTTGGGAGGCATGATGACGTGCTTAAGATTGTGGATAGGATGTTGAGGGAGGATCCAAATGATTTCACTGAGGAATTGGAAGAATTTCTTCAAGAAAGGTTGAGGAAGGATGGGAGGGAAGAGGAGTTGACGAAACTTAAGGAAGATTTAGAAAGGGAGAAGGCTGAGGCTGCAGCTAGGGCTGCTGAAGCAGCAGAAAAAGCTAAGGCCAGTTCTCGGCTGGCTCTTTCCTCTTTGAAACTGTTCGGGAAGAAGATTTCTGAAAATACGGAGTCTGGAGAAGAGACACTTGCAGCCACATCAGGCGATGCTGAGGCCTCGGCTGCCTCTGTGAATGGAGACGAACTGGCTGGACAACAAGAGAATACCGCTGAAAGCTCCGGAGGGAGAAAATTTTCTGATGAGGGCGTGGCTGAAGAATCAGTAGAAGCTAAAAGCAATGCGGAAACTAAGCAGGTTACAGCATAATTATTGTTTAACTTGAAGGGACAAATCATTTATTTACTATGTTAATTTGTTCTCTGAACTTCCTAGTGATGTTTGTAGCTTCTGAATCATAAAACAATATACAATTTGAACTGTGTGTTCTTAATTCTCATTGCAGCACAAACTAATTAAAAAACTGTGAATTTTATGTGATTTGATTCTTCTCAAACAAAGGCCATGTGATTGGAGCAGCCTTTGAATTGAATATATGAAATATTGGTTCAAATTAGAATCCAATTGTTTCTAAATTTAATTTCCGAGGCAACAATCCCATGGTTCCAAAAGCAGTTTTCCGTTATTTTTCAATCGAATAACATTATCTTTAATTCCCACCCTGAAGCCAAGGAGTGAGCTTTTACATACTGTTTCTCATAGTTGCCCAATCCAGAACGGGAAGTATCACTTTTATGTGCACTGACCCAGAGGCATGGAACGAGTGAGAATCTGCAAGGATCATCTTGCAGAGCTAAAATACCCTACACATTGACTCGAGCTTCAGGACGCGTGGAATCTCATTGAATCTAGATGGTAATCATCAGCATCACTAGCGTCAGCACGGACCTCAAATAGCATGAAATGTGATTCTGATGTGAATCAGCAAGAGTCATCTTGCAAGGCTAAATACTACTACTACTCATCGCACTGACCTGAATATTAGTATGGGAAGTGTGAAAATCTCTTCTGAATAAACAAATATCGGCTTGTATGCTAAATACTGTAGGGCAATTGAGGAAATGATAAAGAGAAACTGCTGTTTCAAATCCTGTGGCAATTAACAAGGGTCATCTTGCATGACTAAATACTCGAATACTTTAGGAATGATTGAAAAATTCCTTTCTGAAATTTCTTATGAATCAACAATGATTCACGTGCTTTAGAAGTGCAGAGCACAACACTTAATGAGTGGTTATCTTCTGTTTGTGCCATTGCGAAAATGGATCATGTTCAACGACCTCAAGAACCGTAGAGAAGCAGGGTCTGAGTAGGAATGGTTAAGGGCAATTTTATTCGACATAAACTAGGTAACAGAAAAACAAATTGCAAAATGCCAAAGTAGGAAACTTCGAAACAAATGACAAAAGATCAAAACCTTGATCTCACATAGAAAACAATATCATCTTGAAGGCAAGCAAGAAAAGAGCAAGTCATGAGAAAAGAAAACATGGTGCTTATTTGACAATTGATTAAAGCTTGATCCTTGGCGAACAAGGGGAAGATAAGTTGTGTTTAACATGTTAACAAATCATTATGCTGTGACGTCTCACAAACATAAACACGTGCAGTAGATGTTTGGTATACAATATCAGACAAAATTAGACACTAATGAAGACGTTCTTAGCTTCTTATATTTCTTAATATCTAATCCACCGTACCAATCATGCTAGCAGTATCTCACCATGCACATGTGTGTCATGTGGAGGGACACAGGACCGCCCAAAATTAATTTTTTCAGCTACAAAGATTCGGCATAGACAACCCGGCATCTGAATTTTGTTCTTTCCATATTCTCCCAGTAACTCTAAGCTTCAGCTCCTTCTTGTCCCCACAAGAGAAAAAAAGTGCCACGTTTCTTTGGATTATAAGACCATCATGACTGTCCCTGACCTTTCGGTGGCTATCTCGAATGCTCCGAGGCGTACCCTCCCATATGAGTTTTCGACCATTTGCTCCGACCTCCAAACTGTAGCTATAGTTGCGAGCTTCGACCTCATCACCCATAAAACGGACGAAGGCCATATAAACAGGAGCTATACCAAGCTGAAATGCTTCAAAGTGGAGGCAGAAATATTGTCCAAAACAATGGAAAACCTAATGAAACAAACACCAGAAACAAGATTACATAACTAATCAACATTTTATTGAGCTATTACGGAGCAGTATTTATTAGTTGTATTGAAACGCCAAGAACAGCTAGGGCACCAATGTTGATACATCAAAATTTAAGCATGACAGCACTGCAACCTAAATTTTCTACTTATTTTTTATCTTGTGCTGAAGTTCAGATCGTAAAATGGACAAATGGAAATGCAACCTAAATTTTCTATTTATATTTTATCTTGTTCTGAATTTTATTAAGTAAAATGTAAAAACAGGAAATGCACTTTAGACGGAATAATGTTGTAGGACACAATATAGACAGGTGCGCTTTATTATAAGAGGAGATTCTATTCTATACTTAGCATTTGTTTGGTCCCCATTTTCTAACACTCGTTACATATTTTATGGGACCAACAATTTTTATCAACATTTCAATAATACATTTCATCAATTTTTATCAATGTTTACTAAAAATCTGATTTTATCTAAATCAGGCAGTGGATTAATTAACAATTCCTTGGTGATATATTGTAAGCCTCTGAAAACACCATATGGTAACATCAGATGCACAAAGGAATAATTTAGGCTTTGAGTAACGAAAGCCTCAGCTAGCCACGACGCAACGTGCATATACTATGAATGATAACAACTGGAAGATCATAATATTCATCCAAGAGCACGAAATGAAACTTACTGTTAGCATCCATGTTGCATTTTCTACTTCACGAGGATTTGACTTTACATAACGGTGATTGAATGTACATCCCGAGTGCATGTCCACTTTGTGATCATCTCTTAAATGAGCAACGAGACAAGGAATGTCACCAGTAACCGAGCACTCAGATCCAGCATATGGACAATTGTATGGTCTAAAATTGCAAACTGCCTCATGTTTGAGTTTGCTGTAATAGGGAAATATTTCAGGGCATCCCAAAGAACAGTACTTGCAGGGCAGCTCGAGTGACTCAGCTACCTTCTCTAGTGCTAAGCACCTAATATCTCCCAGCTCTTGTCTGCATGTAGGACATCGGTTATGCACCCTTGTCTTGCAGGTGGAACAGAGAGTGTGCCCATTATGACACTACAAAAGATCAAATTATCAATCAACCAATGCTCATCCAACACTTTCGAAATGTCTAAAAGAGTTAGTTTCAAACATAATTAGATATTTTGCTTCTTACATTGAAGTAACAAAAGTTAGTTATTTTGAAAGTAAGTCTTACTTTAGCGTTCAACCAACTAACTTATTTTTATCACTAAATCAATAAAAAAAACAATTATTTGTTTTAAAGCTTATTTACTTATAAGTAAACATTTACGCTTAGCCATACAAGCTCGTACCATTCTCTATTAGGGGTGTAAGCGGTCCGGTTTTTACGGTTTTTAACAAATTTTCAAACCAAACCGTTTTGACCGATTTGAAAAAAACTCAAACCTAAACCTAACGGTTTGGTCTGATTTTAAACCGCCGGTTTCGCGTATATTTTTTTCCTGTCTAGTATCTACTTTATTGCCGTTAATTCAATATATATTTATATCTTACTAGAAATAAATCTAAAACAAACTAAATATATTTACTATAAATTTAAATAACAACAAAATAAAAGTAAAATCACAATAAACTAAAGCATAATTTTTTATTCACCCTTTTGACGTTTTAGGATAATATTTTACGATAAAGATACAATACAAGTCCACTAAAATAAATATAAGGTCCAAAAAAACATAATAATGTCCCTTTTCAACTAGCAAAAGGAATAAACGAATTAATTTTGTCACAGACTTAAGAAACATCAAATTTTGTCACAGAACTAGCAAAAGGAAGAAACATTCATATACTCAAGAAGCCACAGAACTCATGATCAATTTTGTCCGTCTTACCCAAAAAAAAATTTAATTAGCAAATTGGGAAAAACAAAAAAAGGAATTAAGACATGGATCCATCTAATAATGACTTTCAAAAGATAAGCTGCAAATATTTTTTCTCCCCCATTCCACTATATATACCCACCTTCAT